AAGGATGTGTTTGCATAAGAAAAGGGAAGACTTCTGAAATCAGTGAGATTATTCAGATATATAGGATCAAAGGATTTAGTTGGATTAATTTATTTTTGTTCATTTTATTGGAACAACAATACCATTAAAAGACATAAGTAGTACAGGAAAAGTGTCAAAAACAAACAGCATCAACAAAGTGCCGTGCTGTTCGTCTTGCTCGTTTCCAGCCATTTAATGTTTAATTTTGGGTACCTCTAAATGATCTTGGCACCGCTCATAGCTCCAAATAGTTTGTCATTGTTTCCGAACCAGAGCCAAAAAGCCTCTTCCTTAAAACGAGATGATAGTTCATGAACGCGCACAGCTACTGCTTCCGGTGTTGTGTCACAGGTGGACAGCACAACAAACCGTGACAACATTAATTAATTTGAATGTCTCCTCCTCAGATAGTTAAACATCAGTATATGCACTGATGATGTATAACACTCTAGACAAAGCGGGTAATTGAGAAACATCATATTTTATCTGGCATAATGCAGACATAGTAACTTCTCCAGCCTTACAACAATTCTCTCTAATGTCAGAGAAACAAGGCACTAACAGAGCAGTGTGTTTTTTTAAACTTACCGTTAAGTGCAGTGTGTTTTTTAAACTTACCGTTAAGTCCCACTGATTAGTGGAAACATCGCTCCCGTTCAAGTAGCTCCAAGGTCGGTAAATCCAACCGGTGGTCGCTGCGTCTTCCCCCACATGACCACATACAGTTCCAACGCGGTGAAATGAATTCCAACAGGTAGCGTAGCACCGACAATAACATCATGGATTAAGAGTTTGCCAGATGTGTATGAACCCAGTTGCTTCTGCATAGAAATACTATAACATATGAACACCTCATTTTTTAGCTTTAGGTCACATCTAAGATGATAATTCAGGGTTGTAACATTGTAGATAAGTCAAAAAACAAGGAAAAGCACAACACACCCTTTAATTTATAATTCTGCAAGAGGAAATAGTTTGAACCATGTCAGACCATGTATTTGTATGCTGAGTTTAAAATGCTGAAATTAGTTATCCAATAAAGCTAAAATGATAAAGTCTTCTTCTTCTTCTTCTTCTTCTTCTTCTTCTTCTTCTTCTTCTTCTTCTTCTTCTTCTTCTTCGAGTGTTTATGGTCTTAGTTCTATCCACGGTCCAGCTCAGGAGGTGGCGGTAGTGATTACGTCAAGGTTTACCAACTTCCGTTTAGTCAAACTAACAAAGAAGAAGCAGAAGAAGAAGCGGAAAACGTCATTCACAGATTTTTGCTAACTTGTTTGCAGCTCGTGTTGCGGGACTCAAGCAGTTACAATGGACAGACAGGAGTTTGATTCGTATGAGATTGAGGAGCCGAGCGACGAGGAGCGAGCAGCCAGCAGGTAGGAGTTACACAAATAGTTACCTTAGATTATGAGGTCACTTTAGCAACACAATGCTAACGTGCGTTTAGCTAGCTGAATGCTAACACGTAAACAAACTGGAGCAGGCTGGAAAAAGGCAAACTGGTTCTGGTGAACTGTTTTCTCTACAAGTCTGCTTTAGTATAATGTGTTTGAAGCTAGCTATATAACCAGTGACGGAGCTGTTAGTGGTTTATTCTGCCGCTACGTTGTCTTAGAACCAGCTCTCATACATGTGGACAGAGACTGGGAATTAAATTATATCTAGCTAAACATGTACAAGTAAAAAATAGCCATGGCCATGGTTTAATGTTAGACCATTATTTAGATTGAGGTTAAATAAAGTTATATTTCCAAATGTGAAAGTTCCACAAGTGCTGATGACTTCCGAAACAATGACTCGTGTTTTGAAAGTGCAGTTTTTGTGTTTATGTGTATAGGGACAAGTTTGTAGCATAGATCGATGCCACACACCACAGCATTTAAAACCCAAGTTTGTTTGCACTGTCTGTCCCTAGAAGGACCATTAAAATACATACATGTCAACAATGAAATAAACATAGAAGAACACAAACTAGACAATATACATAAAAAAATAAATCATGATACAATAAAAGTGGAACAGAATAATACGTCATGACTCATGTCTCTTTAAAGTTTGAGTGTAAAGTCCCAGTCATGATCCAGTATGTGTTTTGCGGGTAAACATTTTTATATGTTTATCCTGAAATCTCTCTCTGTCCTTCTGAGGATTTACTAAATGCACCTTGCTGTTGCCAGTGGACACAGCTCATGTTAGTCGACTTGCTGCCTGAAGAAGGCAAGACAAAGTGAAACAGTGTAAAAGAGTGAATTTCTCTCTCACCATGTTTCAGTTCGGAGGATGAGCTGGATGTGCTGCTGAATGGGACCCCGGAGCAGAAGAAGAAGCTGATCAGAGAATATCTGACAGGGGAGAGTGAGTCGTCCAGTGGGGATGAGTTTGAGAAGGAGATGGAGGCAGAGCTCAGCTCCACCATCAGGACCATGGAGGGTACCTGGCAACCGTTGACAGCAGGTAATTGACCTGCTGTTGCATGTCTTGTAGCTTAAATGGAATCAGGATGTTGCCCATTCTGGGATCTTGAGGGGATGGTGAGTCCATGTTTCCTCACAGCTGATTGGTGAGAAGGTGCCGCTGTTTAAAAGTATTTCGCCCTTATTAAATACTGGTAGAGGAGAGGAAGCAGGAAATGATGGGAACAAAGACCCTAAGACAGCTTCCAGACAGGGATGATGGTGTGGTTCATGGTCAACTCCTCAACCCCTAAGCCACATGGGTTCTGCAGAAGAGGAGCAAGACATGTTTTATGCAGGTTTGACTTACAGTGTTAGTTACCATGGTAACTGAACCTGGGTTATCTTGGTGAGACTGGAAAGCCAGGGTTAACCATAAAGTCAGCTGGTTAACCCACAAATCCTGATCTGGGAGACAGGATTTTGCTGTGACAACATTCATAGTAAATGTATGATTCTGTGTTTTTTCCAGCAGAAACCTCGAGAGGCAGCGGTGGTCCTGGACCTCCTAATCCTCAGATGTACGATAAGGTCTACTTTGATTCTGACTCAGAGGAGGAGGATACACCAAGTAAGAGTACAGCATGAATGAAAAACTAGCTTTCCTGGCACCTCACAATGATTAAGTCATCCCTTTGGTCTGGATGGATGCATGTACAAGATACATCATTATATTGACTGTTTGAGCTCAGTCAGTTTTTTTTAGTCTCCCTGTTTCCTCTGCAGGCAGTTCCACCAGTCGAAGGCAGAGCCAGCGCATCATACCAACCAATGACGAGCTACTCTATGATCCCGACGAGGACGACAGGGACCAGGCCTGGGTGGACGCCAGGAGGGGAGAGTAAGACACTCAGGCAGTCGTTCAGATTTTATAAAGAGTTTGTTTATGCAGACAAGATGGACAAAGTCAAAACACATTCTTCCCCTGTAACCATCAGTTTTTTGGGTTCCTCTGCAGGTATAACACCAGAAAACGACCAGCAGCAGTGTGTCGGTTGCATCCTCGTCGGGCTCAGGGTTTACCCAGCAGCGATGCTGTTCTGAACTGTCCAGCCTGCATGACAACGCTCTGCCTCGACTGTCAGAGGTGAGACTTCACAGCAGGTCTGAGAACAGGAGTCAGGGTTTGCTTGTAACACACGGCGGTGACATGTCTCCAGTGTGACAGTTTTCCTGTTTTATATGAAACAGCAGATCTTTTGTTTTTTGGCTGTTGGTCAGACAAAATAAATCAAGAAAGGGCTTTAACAAGACATCTGTAAATGTCACCTTAGTCCCTGGGGCACTGTATTGACCAATCACTAGATAATTAACACTAGTTGCAGCTATGATGATTGGAGGTTGGAATCTGGTGTTTCCGTGTCACAGCATCGCTAAACATTGGCACATTTCAGCTACTATCTCGAGCCTCTTCTCTGATATCATTATCCACTGATGAAATACTGGCTGCTCTGTTTGCTGTTTTTTGGTATTGCTAGCCACATTCTGATATTTTGCTTTATGTCTACGCAGGCATGAAAAGTACCGGACCCAGTATCGAGCCATGTTCGTGATGAACTGCACGGTTAAGAGAGATGAGGTGTTACGCTACAAAACAAAGCAGGAGAGGAAACAGAGGAACAGGAAGAGAAGGAGGGGACAGATGCCAGAAACACCGGTGGCTGAGGCTCCTGAGCCAGCGGGGATGGAGGCTGATGAGGTCTACCACCCGGTGCAGTGCTCTGAGTGCTCCACAGAGGTGGCGGTGTTCGATAAAGACGAGGTCTACCACTTCTTCAACATCTTGGCCAGTCATTGCTGAGACAGCCCGAGATGAGTCTGAGCAGAATGGTTTTTAATTGACTGTTAGCCTCACAACAGTGAGCAGTGTTTTCAGCAGCAGCATTTACAGCTGCTATAATTATTAGTTTTATATTAGCAGTGAATCACATAACTACTTGTATATAAAAGAAGTTCATTCATTCATTCATTCATTTTCTGCCGCTTAGTCCCTGAACGGGGTCACGGGGCGGAGCCAATCCCGGCCGGCAATCAGGCGAAGGCGGGGTCCACCCTGGACAGGTCTATAAAAGAAGTTACTTGTACTAATTAACAGACTGAATAGTATCACCTGAATCTGAATTTTAGTGTCACTGTGTGGTTTTCCAGCTTGCAAGTGTTGTGGTTCACTGTCACTGCTTCAGTCCTGTTGTTTTCATCTGCAGCAGGCATCTATTGTCATCAAACAAGCTCAGACACCTACTGTCCACTAAGTGCTCAGCAGCAGACAGACACTGTCAGAGACCAGCTGGTCAGCACAGTGAAGCATTTAGCAGCTAATGAGCTAGAGATTTCCCTCAGGAAGTGATGGAGACCAAACCCAGAGGTACCAGAGGGAACATTCTTAAGATGGGCACAAACACAAGCCCAGATGAAAGCTAACGTTCCTCTGTATCTGCTGAATGTGTAAATGAACAAGTTTTTGCTAAGGTGTTCACCATAAATCTACTTAAGCTATGATTTGTCAGTGTTGAGTTTATGACCCCCCCAAGAGGCCAAAACAATAAGTTATTGCAAGGTTAGAATGGAAAACAAGCAGACTGTAAACAGTATGTCATTTGTTTTGCATATCTATATCGGTATCATCTGCATAATGAAAACTGGAATTTGACACCAAAGTCTTCTTGTTGCAGCTCTGTGGTGAATACTGCACTGTATGCACTGTTCGTACAGATACTGTTTTTGAGGCCTCTGTGAGTTACAGAAATCAGATATATTTGGTGATTTGTTTTAAAATTTATCATGTATAGTAAATTTTGACTGCATCACCTTAACTGCTAGTGTGGTATTGCCACTTATAAGTAAACGACCAGAATACTACTTTGCCCACGTGCATGTTTACACTATTATCAGCTGTTCTCACACTAAACCGGTCCTTTATTTTGAAAGCAGGATGTTGGGACTCCCAGAGTAGAGTCTGGTTTATGTCAGAGCAGGGTGTTCCATGGTGGTGTCGTGATTGGCTGTGCAGGATATGGTTCTTGTTACCATTGCTAACTCTGAGAGGCGAGACAGTCCAAGTAACTACAAAACAGTGCTGATTTATTCAAAGGATCACAGGTAAAATTAACATTACACGCTCAGGTATCTTTCACCTCCAACCTGCACGCAGGCAGATGAAAGATGAAAGACCCTGAACCCACCAGGCCTATACATTATATCCCCTCGGTTGGGCTAGCCCCATACTACACAGAAACGTCAACCGAGACGTCTCTGTTACCAGCTTTGCAGCTGGTCATAGCAGTAGTCAAAACATGAAGCAAATCAATGTGTGTGTGTGTCTGTTGATTAAGTGGTGTGTAACTAAAAACATTCTCACAAGTCATCAACTCTTCTCTCTAGTTATCCTTGACCAGATGTACCCTGTAGAAACTCATAAGCATGACTAAGCATTTAACAGTCTAACTAGACATCCTATCTCCACTAAACATTTCTAATACATAAAGTATCTATCCAATTTCTATCTGACTAAAAATACCTAACAGCTGGAAATGTGCACCCACTCGTGTTTCCGGAATTAAGGTTAGTAGATATAAGTTTTAAAAGTATTGCGGAATTTGGAAGGAGTGGAAGAAGGAGAAGAGATTTCTTGATGGTAAATGGACTCATAGAGTTTAGGATAATGGAACGGTGACGCAGACTACGAACACAAGATGGCAGTAATGCAACACTAGGATGTCAACTGCCGTAAAACGCCAGAGAAGAAGAAGACGTCGACGACGACTCACGTCGAGAGAAATAAGTCAAGTAAGGGAGGGATAAAAGTTGTAAAGTTGGAACCATGGCTCTGGGAGACTATTGGAAGCAATTGTCCTGGTTTTACTACCAATATCTTCTGGTGACAGCGTTGTACATGTTGGAGCCCTGGGAGAGGACGGTGTTCAGTATCCTTTTCCGTGTGAAAAAATAACTGCATACTGGGCTAATTAGCTAGCTAACTTAGTTCAGGAAATATAACGCTAAGTGGGATCAATATGTTTTGTTTTTTTTTTGGGATCAATATGTTTATTGTGTGTTGTGGATACAGTTAACACGTTCTATAAATGATAGGGGTTTAAAGCAAACTGGGCATGTAACGATAGTGGACCGGTTGGTTCTTGTTTTCGTTGGAATTGGACTCTCGACATGTTCGAAAGCAAATTCTACTTATACTTTTTGGCTGTTATAATAATATTATAACAGCTAAAAATATTATATTTATTATTATAATATTAAATCGTGTTTTACGGTGTACATGGATTCTTTCATAAGTTAAGAACCCTTAAACACGTAGAATGTCTAATGGAGTTTTGAATGCTCGCTATCGTATTCGGCTGAAGATCAACGAAAATCGTATGTGTAAAAAGAAAAGATTCGTTTTTAATTTTTGCCGAGTTGAATAAGACGCAGTAACGTTTCAGAGAGTGTCTCGATTTTTGTTGCAACACTCCGGCATCTTTACCTGTAAATAAAATTGTATGAAAATGTCACAATTGTCATCGCAGTTTAGCATGTGACTTGTTTGAGGGCAGCGTTGAGGCCAAGCTAGCTGCAGCTAGTTAAGCACTTCCGATCCACAGTCAGGTGATTGATACGACAGTAAAATCGTATTACATCAGTATTACAGTGGATCGTGTTAATAGTGTCAAGGCAGATCTGTGGCACTGCACCGAGACGTATCATCTTCCTACATTTGGCGTCATCGTCAGTGTGTGTTTCTTCCCTGCGGCTCAGGGTGTTTGTGTGAATTATTACTGTAAGGCTGTGTTATTGTCCTCCTACAGTGTCCCATCAAGTGTTAATGCATACATTAGCTAGGGAGCAGTCTAACTGCCCTGTTAAGGCGTGGATGGACATGACTTTCATCAGTAAACTGAACCACAGTGTTGGAAAATATCGGGTTCTTTGATGAAAGGTCAAAGTCTGTGGACATATAAACTGAAGGAGAGAAGTCAGCCATGACTCGTATGGTGCATTTCAGTAAACATCCAATCACAGATCTGAAAAATATTGGCTTGAAAATAGTTGCCTGTTATTTTTCTTCTCAGTGGGTTGTTCTCACTAACCGACTGTTTCAGATGAAATACAATCCAGCTGTCATCTGCTTGTGTGGACATAAGCTGTCATTGCTCTTGTCGCATCTTGTCCACTTGCCAGTTTATTAGGAACACCTGTCTTAGACTAAGTCAGTCTAATCCAACAGTAAATCCTCCTTCATGAAGGTGATCACATTCACTCACCCAGTGTCAGCTGGGATTGGCTTCAGTCCCCTGTGAACCTGTTCAGTACAAGTAGTATCGATAATGGGTGGATGTAGTTGAAACAGAATCTTGGCTCCTTCCTTAACATCTCCTCCTCAGACTCCCTGCTGATCTCAGTGGCTGGCATGGCAGTTTACACTGGCTATGTTTTCATGCCACAGCACATCATGGCCATCCTGCACTACTTTGAGGTCGTCCAATGACATGATGACTCTGTCCATCCACCCGTCTGTCTCTGGCTTCCTGTCTCTTCCTCTGCCTGCCTGCCTGTCTGTCTCTCCCTGGTTTGAAGTGGGGATCGTTTCCAACCATGTGGAGGCAGGATGTCTTCTCTCCAAAGCCAATTCTGTATCAATGGTCAAAGCTGCTGGAGGTCATGTTGGACAAATTTTTCCCTGGGACTGTTTCTGTTGAAGATATTTGAGACTGTGAACTGTGCTGGGCTCAGACACACGGCCTTTAAAGATGGTGCATTAGTTTTGTTTTCTCCATGTGTTTTGCTTTCATGTCCTTGAATCAAGCACACCTTACTATTTTGAAAATGTATAATTATCTGGATGTCTGGTTGTGTAGGGCCATTTTATTTTTATTCCATTCAGACATCAAACCATTGTTGTCATAGTGTTTTTTTTAGTGGCTGGACAAAAGACATTGTCCATTACTGTAGTCTTTGAGCCAGATATGATGATGATGATGATGGAAGCAGGATCAGATCTCTGAATGAGGCTTGATTGTTTTGTCAAAGCAGGCACGAGCTGCCTTGAGGTAGTAATGTCAGCTCTTTTCAACTGCCACCATCGTTTTCCCGTACTTTCAAACCTCTGTTTCCACACACAGACAGATGCAGTCTCGCATATGCATATGCACATGCACATGCACACCTGCAACTTCACACAGCGAAGTATTTCATCAAAACTAATGCCTTCTGCAAAATCCTAAGTGTAGGTAACACATGAGCTGAATGACAAACTTGTCACTTCCTGCAAAAGAAAAGCAAATTGGACATTTATTCTCCACCTCAGAGAAACCTATCTGTGGTAAACACCCTAAAAATGGGGTTTCCCGCAGCTAGTAACTTAAACCTTCAGCTCAGCCTTAAATGCAATCTTTATGACGAGTTAATGATGTATATGTCTTGAAAATTAGACTTGAGAGGAAATGGACCAATAGACATTAACAAGAATGGATGTATTTCCTTCATGCAGACATTTTTAAACCACCTATTGCAGCTCCGCATCAGCTTTGTTTCTATCTACTAACTTCTTATTGTACACGGTTGAAGTTGGACATGGCCACTGTACCTGTGCTGCCAGCTGTCAATCACTCTGTGAAAGCAAATGGTGATGTTATCAGGTCAGGGATAAACTGACGTGTATGTCATTAACCACATAGTAGGCAATGCTAACACTTTCCTCTTTGCACAGAAATGGTAAATTCTCAAGTTCCATTTTCTGTATGTCATGTTTTCTATGCATTCCTTCCGTTACTGGTGTCCTTTGGAAAATTGTTTTTCCCACCTTCAGAACTGTATTTTTCTCAATTTTGTGTATATAATCTTGTATACATATTTGCAACATTTTGTAGATGAATATGTTGGTGTATAGAATGACATTTGTTTTTTTTGTGAGCTACTGATGGTAAATATTGTTAAATAATTCTGAAATAATTAAATGGATATTTCACTAAGCTAAGGGTGTTTATCTGGTGTTATTTTAAATGAGGTTTTGTTTTGCTCTAACTTGCCAGTCAGAAGTGACACGTCCATCCTGTTAACTTTGGTTGTGATCGAAGAGCTGATATTTGTGGTGAAGTGCACATGTATGTATGTAGCAATGCCACTGGAGGGGAGTGTTTCCATGTGTTTGAGCTGCTGGTCTCAGCTCTGAAAAACACTCCAGCATTAAAGGAGTGTCACAGCAGCATGAATGCTTTTGAAAGTCATGGTAAAAGGTCTTATACTTTACTATGCATTGCAGCACACTCAAAGCGTTCACACTATTTGGCCATTCATGCACACTTTGAACAATCTGGGAATCAAACTACTAATATCCTGGGTAGGAGATGACCTGCTCCACCTCCTCAGCCACAGCTTCCCCCAAGTCATGTAAAAAGCCAATAAAGCTGAGTTGGGGAGATTAACTTTTTTTCTTTCCAGACACACAAAAACAAAATGTTTGCTAAAATAAATAAATAGAACAACCAGATGTGTTTGTTATTGACAGAGTAAGTGAAGAGCTGCCATTACATCATTTTTCTTCTGTCGGCTGTTCCCATTAGGGGTCACCACAGCGACATATTTTTTACGCCACAGCGTAAAGAATTTGTCATGTTTTTACGCTGGATGCCCTTCCTGAAGCAACCCTCTCTATTTATCTGGGCTTGGGACGGGCACAGAAGTCACTGGCTTGCAACCCCTGTGGCTAGATTATCTGTTATCTAGATTATCTATCATTAATCCACCATAATGAACACAAAGTCAGTAACTTAAAACTTTTAAGAATATTTTAAAAGAATGAGGAATATGCAGGACTTGAGCACTATTTACTTTATATAGAAAACAAGTTACAATGCTTCACAAACACATCAGATCATAAATATTTCCAGCTAAATGTTAAAGAAGAAATCATGTAAATCGTAGTTAAAATCTGACACTAAATTGCTGTAAAATGCAGAGTAAACACAAAATGCTGAAAATAGTGTTTTTAAAATTTGAAAGACTTAAGAGAACATAGGGCCCTGGCTCCAGGGGCTGCATTGCTTCTGGGTTTTAGCTTGAAACATACAGCTTATGATATTCATAAGCAAAACTGTTGTAGGATCATAAGGGATTAGTATAGAAGGTGGCTCCTGTGTTTTCACGCCCATTAAAATGACCATATTTCAAATTTGTACTAAGGGGTGTAAGTTCATTAACTTAAATTGGTTACTTGTACTTTACTCAAGAATTTCGTTTTCATGATATTTGACAGCTTAGTTGCTAGCTGCTTTACCATATCACTTTACATACAATTATAAAATATGCTACATTGTTATCCGGTCCCGGATAAGCGGAGGAAAATGGATGTACGGATTGTTAGAGAGTGATTAACGGGCAGAGAAAATACATTTTAAGACGGCATCGTGGTCTCTGGGAAGTTTTTATTTATTTTATTTATTTTTTAAAATATTTTCTCTAGAACCGTCCACCAGGGGCAGCACCGACAGAACCGCAGCGGAACACAACTCGCCATATTGAATTTTACACAGGTTTTTTGGTTCAATGTAATTAGTCTGTTCTCCGCGGTCTGGACCATTCGGGCTAAGCAAGCAGCGTTTTGGGCCTTTCAGACACGAGTGATACCGAGGTGGATGTTGCTGAAAAGTCGCTGAGAAGTTCGTCCTGCCTTTAGATAGGTTAGTATTCAATTTTATTTAGAACATGCTAAATGTTTCATTTGGAACATTTGCTCACCAGGAAACTTTATGAACATGTAGAATGGTTAGCTAGCGGGCTAGCACGGTAGTACTTGTTTTCTCTGATGTGCTATAATTAATAGTGACGGGTCTTTCTATCCTTGTTATCTCGTTGGTGTCTCCGCTAGTTTTATTCCGAAAAAAATATCAAAAGTGTTTGTTTTGTTTTGTTACATCGCCAGTAAAACCTACTCCCTCTCACATTTCCCGCCCCTCTCTTTAGCAAAATCCCATTGGCTAGTCAGCTCGGCTCAGTGATTCTATTGGTTAACCCAGGCCCTTTCCTAAATACTTCCTAGAACAACATACGAAAACAACTGAAAATAGGAAAAAAATAACTGAAATCCTGTAAAAATATACAATTTATTACTATATTCACAAACAGCATTAAACAGGCAATCGTCATGTCTAAAACAACATGTTATTCTTATGCAGAATTATGGATATTTGGAGGGGGAAGTCTGCTATGGTATACATTGAAGGAATGGTTTTTTTCTTTTTTAATTTCAAAGAAGGTACTCTACTATTTGGCTTTGTGGAACTTTCAAAGAAAGACACATTTGATGGGATCATTTAATAAAGAGCTGGTAGTAGTACAGTTCAAATACAGGACCACTGTCAGTTTGTAGAAGGCAGTTAAAGCAGGGACATCTTAAAAATAAGCCTTGTTTATGAACTTAGAAGTGTTGTAAGAACAGTAAAAGCAACTTTGTTGAACAATGCAAACAAGAAGTAAATATACATGTGCAATTATAAAATGCAGAAGGGACTGTTAAATTACACATATAAAACCATACATCAAATGTGTTTTACAGTGTCCTCTAAAGAATTACAGTTCTTGGTGTTAGAAGTAAAGTTTTTAAAAACCTGAAACAGAGTTTTAAACTACCTTCAGTCTCAAACACATAATTATAATATTAGGAAGAGTTACAGAAACAAATCATGAGACATACTTATTTGCTGATACATGCACAATATTAATTACATTTCCTGTAATACACACCATTGTTAGCAAAAAAGTGACTGACACCATGAAAATGCCTTGTTAAAGAATGTATTTTATTAATCATGAGCACACTGAGGTCTTAGTTATGTTTTAGATATTTTCTTTTTAATTGTGAGTCACATAAACCATGAATAAAATAGTGTAGAGCCAGTGTGTTCATCTGATGTGGCAGACAGCATTTAACCCAAGTGGAACTAAGTGTCTTGTGTATGTGTTCTGTGCATTTCTGTGCCTGCGTTGATGGTGGTTCAAGCTCCCGTCAGCAGCTTGTTGTGTGTACGTGCGAATGGCTTCATCGACCGAGTTAACCAGTAACCAGACCTCTGTTTCCTTTCTGATGTGGTGCCAGAGTTAGAATGAGAAAGTCACCTGTTGGCGGTGTGTGTACGTGTTGTAGTTTGAGAGATCATGCCCGGGGTTTACTTTAGAGCTCCACTGATGTTTGAGGACTAGGGGAGTAGTACAGCACGATAGCCGATAATCAGCAGATGTCAAATGATCATTTTTATGCCTATAAATCTTTCTTTTTTTCACTTAGGGAAAAGCTTACAAACTTAAAAGTCAAGTGGAATAGGAACTGTATATTGTACTAACAACGGATTATTTAGTGTAGTGAACTCACACCTGAGTTTAAATGACTAACAATAATTGATAATTTATTTTAGATGTAGTCTTGACTTGAGTATAAGATACTCAGAATCATTAAAGCAACTATGTGTGTGTGTCTGTGTATGCAGTTTTTCACATAGATGTATACTAAATTACATTTCCTTGGTACTGCACTGAGGGTTGTCGTTCTGTCATACAGTCATGGGTTGTTGATCAGAGCGATGGCCCAGGGGATGAAACTGTCCTTCTCCACCCTCCTTCTGACCCGTGAGGTGTACAGGTCCTCCATGGAGCACAGGCTCACACCAATGACCTTTTCTACAGTCCTGACTGTCTGCTGAAGTCTGTACTTGTCCTGTTTGGTTGCTGAGCCAAACCAGACAGTGATGGAGGTGCAGAGAACAGACTGGATGATTCCTCTGTAGAACTGGATCAGCAGCTCCTGGGGCAGGTCGAACTTCCTGAGCTAGAGCAGGAAGTACATCCTCTGCTGTGCCTTCTTGGTGATGGTCCTAATGTTAATCAGAGGTCTCTCGATCGCCTACAGGAGATTCAGAATGCGGCTGCGTGACTGCTGGTTGGTGGGAGAAAAAGGGAGCATATAACGCCTGTTTTGGCTTCTCTGCACTGGTTACCAGTGCATCTTAGAATTCATTTTAAGATTCTTTTATTTGTATATAAGGCTGTGAATGGACTGGCACCACCTTACGTGTCAGAGCTACTGTACCCCTATTGTCCTTTGTGACACCTCAGATCAGCTGATCAGCTGCTCTTGGAGGTTCCACAAACGAGGCAAAGACTTAGGGGGACAGAGCGTTTGCGGCGGGGGCCCCTAAACTGTGGAATGCATTTCCTCTCCACATTAGGCAGGCCTTGTCACTGGACACTTTTAAAGTCTATTTAAAAACTTATTTTTATCGTCAGGCATTTGGAAATCCACTTTTACCTTTGGGCGTTTGAGCCGGTATGAGGCGGTTTCATGTTGGGGTACCTTGTTTTAATGCTGTATGTGGGGGTTGTTGTAAGGGGATGTTGTTAATTAGTTTTGTTTATTGTTATTATGTTATTGCCGGTGTATTTTATTGTGTTGTTCTATGTGTTTTGATGTTAATATGGTTGTGATGTGTCACTGTGTTAAGCACTTTGGGCAGCTATGGTTGGGATAAATGTGCTATATAAATAAAGTTGACGATGATGTTGGACGTCCACTTCAGGTCCTGGGAGATAGTGGAGCCCAGGAACCTGTAGGACTCTACTGCTGATACAGTGCTGCTGAGTACGGTGAGGGGGGCTTCTCCTAAAGTCCGCTGTCTTGAGTGTGTTCAGCTCCAGGTTGTTGCACAGGACCAGCTGTTCAACCTCCTGTCTGTAGACCGACCCGTCACCGTCTCGGATGAGACCTATGACCACTGTGTCATCTACGAACTTCAGTAGTTTAACAGAGGGGTCCTTTGAGATGCAGTCATTTGGGTAGCAGGAGAGTACACATCCCTGGGGGGCACCTGTGCTGATAGTCCAGGTGCTGGATGTGGTTTTCCCCTGCCCCACCTGCTGCTTCCTGTTTCTCAGGAAGCTGGTTCCACTGAC